TCCCAGGTGCTTGGGTGCCTCAGTTCTCCATCTCTAAAAGGGGGGTAACAGTCTCCGTCTGTCTTGTCTGTACCAACTGGAAGCTCTTCTGGCGGGGCCTGTCTTTGGGGAATGGGTTTGTACCGTGCCAATCCTGGGCTCTGGTCTGGGTAGGAAGGGGACAGCCCAGCTAGAATAGTTATAATATGTCCAAAAGTACAGAGTCCCGCAGATCTCATTCCCCGGAGGAGAAAGAGGCATTACTGCTGAGATGGGGAGGCAAAAAGAGGTTGCTGCATAACTATCCCCGCCGTATCTTTTCTCCTGAGTGGGAGTGGATGTGGGCCTTGCACCTATTATCTCCGATAGCATCAGGAAGGGCAGGCAGCTATATATAGCATCGCTTCTCAAGGAGGAGCGGGGGGTTCGGCTTAGCAAGTACCTGTCTGCAAAGCATTTAGCTGTTTCTGCGGAAACCCATTGTCTTGGAGGTGTAAGATTTATGTCTCCCTCAGCCAAAGGCGGCTTTCCAGCCAGGATTAACATAAAAGGTATTTTGTCTTTAATATGTAAATGCCGGAGCCTGACAGGAGAGAGTCGTTCTTTGCAAGGCGAGGCTCAGTGAGCTGTTTGATCAGGACACCGTTCTTGGGATTAGCTCCTTTTAGACAGCGGCTAATCTTTTTCCAGCCACGGCAGGCTGGTGGGGCGGGAGGGGGGGAGATGGTGGAGCCAGGGGGTGTTGGAGCCAGATCCATTTTAATGACCTTTCAGAGGGGATTAACGCCTCGCTGGATGGATGGAGCGGTGCTGTTCGCCTCCTGGATCGGTGCACGGCACCCGGCGGCGGGGTTCGGCTTTGGGAATGGGCCTCTCGTGGCACCTCAGTTATCTTTGCCACCAGAAGTGCAGCTGCCGGGATTGTGACGAGCGGCAGAAAACGGAGTTGGAAGGAGGGGGTCTTCTGCTACACTTCCCCTCTCGGGCGGGCGCCACGATCTTGGTGGGGCTCCATCACAAACATAAAACCTAAACTCCACTTCTTGGGTCGTGGCGTCAGATCGGACCGGGGGGGCCAAAACGAGCGAACGCTGGCTTGAGACTCGAGACCTGGCTTCTGTTCCCAGTTCTGCCACTGGCCGCCTGGCTGTGCTAAGGCCTTCCTTGTGCCTCGCTTTCCCCAAGGATCAAAACAAGGATAAAAAGCTGACCACCTCTGCAAAGTGGGGGGACAGCTACTGATGAAAAGCCCCCGTGAAAGCTAGACGTTGTTTTTACCCAGCATGTCAGCTGCAAGCTGTTTGCTAGCTACGACGGTCTAAAATGCCCACTAGGTAGACAAGGTTTTTTGGGGAAATCCGATATCTTTTATTAGATCCACTAAAATAGTTGGAAAAATTCTTCTGCGCAAGCTTTAGGGTACAAACACCCTTCTTCAGGCAGAGGAAGCCAGCCCATTGGGTCCGGCAACACTCAAACCCCAGAAAAAAATGAAGGTATTTCACTTGAACTTCTGACAATCAGGAACGAGAACGCGACTCTAAGTCTGCCCTTCCTGACCGATAACTCGATGTACCCATCAAAGACACAGTCTTTGCAGTTTTGAACTGCCTGTGCAGATAAAGCTCGCCTTCGGGAAACAAGACACATGACCAGTCATCATGCAGCATCTCCCTGCTAAAGCTAAGCTTGTGCTTGGGGGGAAGCTGTGCCGAGCTGGAGATACCTGCACCCATTTTCCATGAGCTTCTTCCACAGGCATGACTCCAGACTTTCTGAAGTTAGCAACTCTTCTCCCCCCGCTTTTTACAGCCCTTCTCTCTCACGGCAAGGATGCCATGCTCATCAACAGCCCAGAGACGATGTTGCAACCAGATTCAAAAAGTGCAGCTGCTGCCCAAAGGGGCCTCGCCAGCTCCCACTGATGATGGGTCCCATCACGAGAAGATCCCCCCCGCCATAGCACACCCACTGCCACAACCGTCAGAAATGATCACTGTAGCGAGGCACCGTCTCTTAACACTCACAGGCCTCTTTCCTTTGATCCAGCACTGGGCTGGGGATGGGCAGGCAGAGAGAGCACTTCAGATCCCCCCTCAAAGGGGACAGGGCCCTTTCTTTGCATCAGTCTCAACTCCAGTCAAGCCCTCCACCACTTGGCACAGCTATGCCTAGCATGCATAATACCCAGAGATGATTGCCCACTCCGGGAGGCGGGCAGGCGATGGAGGAAAGATAGAAGGTTGCATCGACGTGATCCTTAGCACCTGCCTTTCCCAGTTTTCAGAGGTTCAAAGGGTGGCTGACACGACGGGGCAACCCAAGTGCCGCGTTCATGTTTTTTTGTCAGGCAGTACTCGCATCAAACGCTCTTCTCACCTCTGACGGAGCTGGGGTCTGCGTGGAAACTGGGGGTTCATTATCCGAAAGGGCGCTGCGGCGCTTGCAACTTAAAGGGGTGCGGGATTTGTGCCAGGGGTTGCATGGTGTAAAGTACTGTCGGTGTTCGGGGAGATCAATGGGCAGCTACGCCCGCCATCCCATCGAAGCCACTTCATTTAACAATCACACCGTGACCTTTTCATTCTGGAGCGTGTCTGCAGAGCGAGGTTTTATATATATATTTTTGCTCCAGTGAAAGGCAAGAGATAATTAATCTTGGGTGCCGGAATCTGAAAAATTAATGAGAGTGGCTTTAATCGCATCCGAGCTGTAAAATAATGGGCCGCGTAGAGAAGCTTTTGCCATCCGATGGACTCGGCGATGACTGGGAAGATGCAACGTGTTTTTCCTGTTCTTTGTCTTTTGAAGTCCTGGTGATTTATTTTTTGGAGGGGTTCACGTCACAGACTGAGTGCCTTGACAAGTGGGTTTCGGGGGGGGCAGGGGGAATGAAAAGGATCTGCTTTCATATCTTCAGCATGATCCGGCGCTTGCAAAGCCTCGTTAGTTTTGACGCTAGTTGCCAAAGACGAGGGACAGCAAAAGATTCCCCTTGTCCTCCCACCCGTAATTTCCTTTTCATCCCAGTTTTGTTCCATCGGGCCGCAATAACCATCACTCAAGGCTGAAGGCTGCTCTCACTGGATTGGTAATGGACTGCAAAGGCTTTTGATTCTGCATTTGTTGGTTGGACTCCAACCTGGCGAGGCTGCAGGGGGAAAGCTCTTTCTGTTGGATGACCCTGATAGGTGCAGAAAAAGGGCGGGGAGGAGTCTTTTCCAGTTCCTGATTGGTTGCTGGCTACATCATGCTTGCAAAGAAGACCCTGGTCCCTTCTAATTGGCTGGCGTTAATGGCTTTCTCGAGGATGGTGGATAGCTTGCTTCGACCGGGGAGAGTTCACTTGCAGGGTGCGCACCAGGGAAGTTGAGTCCAGGCTGCTCCCGTTCTGGGGGCAGATAGAGGGGTTGCCCCCCAGGGATGCCCCACTAGCACAGCATCCACCATGCAGGACAGGCAAAGTCTGCTCCAGATCACAGAACCATAGAAATGAGGGTGTGAAGGGACTTCAGGAGGTCACATCTAGTCCAAGCCTCTGCTCAAAGCAGGACCAGCCCCAGCTACGTCATCCCGGCCAAGGCTTTGTCTAGCCAGGTCTTAAAAACCTCCAAGGATGGAGAGCCCACCAGCTCTCTGGGTCACCTGTTCCAGTGTTTTACAACCCTCCTTGTGCGAAAGTTTTTCCTAATATCCAACCTAAACCTCCCTTGCTGCAACATGAGCCCATTGCTCTTTCACCACTGAGGACAGTCCAGCTCCATCCTCTTTAAAACCCTCTGCAGGGACTTGTAGGCTGCTATTCAATCCCCCTCAGTCTTCTCTCTGCAGACCAAATAAGCTCATTTCTCTCAGCCTCTCCTCATTAGTCATGTACCCCAGGCCCTGAACCATTTTGGTTACCCTCCGCTGGATGGGCGGATGGGAAGCTCTGAGCCGATGGGAGGCTTTGAGCTGAAAGCCCAGAAGACCCAATAGCTGCTATCCTCACTGCTGAATCTGGGCAGGGGATCCAGTGAAAAGCCCAGGTGGGCTCAGCTGCTACCCAGCACCCATGCAGACATGCCCATGCTTTCTGCTGGCTGCCATGGTCCCTTCAGCCACCGGCACCTTCCCAGGGTGCATCCACCCCTTGCTGATAAAGCTGCAGCAGTGGGACTGCACGTGGCTGCTGGGAACTGCGCAGAGAGAAATGCTCTGGCTGCTTCCCTGGGGTGGCTGTTGTCTGTCACCAGAAAGGCTGGGGGCAGATGTGGCCTAGGTTAGGGAAGGCGTAGTTAATGGAAAGTAGGGTGGTGGGGCTCAATTTCTGAGCTATGGAGACCCAGGTGTTTGCATTTTGTGGGAGGAAAGATTAAGTTACTTATTCTGTCCCTAACATCAGAGTCATCCAGATAGTAATTATTCCCACCCTCCCACTCGATGGCCTCCTGATGTATGGATGTTACCTTATTTTCCTTTATGAATGGCAGCTGCTACTTAATACAGATTGAAATATCTTGTCTTTGTTTTGCTGCATCAAAGTGGCTCTCTCCTGTTTGCTTAATTAAACAGCCTGGCACTAAGAAACAAGCATCTCCTGTTTAGTTCGTGATGATATTCTGCACCTGGGCAGAGGCCGTGGGGTACCAGTCTCTTGACTGCTAGCCACGTCCTTGAATGATCAGACATGGGCATCTTGAGGAAGCCACTGAACGTATGGCCATCTTCACCCAAGCCAGGGTGGCATGAAGGAGAAATCAATGTAAAGGGTGCAAAAGGGAGTGGAAGAGAAGTGGAGTGAAGGAAGATGGTTGGGAGAGAGGAAGAGAGAGAAGGTGGGGTAGGAAAGGAAATGGAAGAGAGAGATGGAGGAGTGCTTGGAAAAGTGAGACCGTATTCATTACCTTGAACACGAGCAATGAGTTGCGGGTCCAGGCAATTACAAGTTACATCTTGCCCTTTAAACCATGCCCCCCCGGCCAACTTCCCCGCTCCATCCCCACATTCGGACGGCAAGACGAGAGAAACGCAGGCCTTACCTAGCGTGACCTCGGACTGCATAGGCATGGAGAGGGCAGGGTGCTTGACTTCACAGCTGAAGAGCGCCTCATTGTCTATCTGCGGGTTAAGTGTCCACATGAGCATGGCCCGCACCTCCACGGTGCCGTCGCTGATGGGGATGTGCGTGTGGTGGAAGTAGTAGATGGGCTCCGTGCTGGGGACCCACCGCGGGAACTCCAAGCTCACCACAGTCTCTGGGATGATCTCCGTGGCTGGGCTGAAGAGAAGTCCCGGGTCGGCGGTGAGGCTCTTGAAGGGGTCCTCAGTGTATGGCCGCCCCCCCCGCTCCTCCACGTCCAGGAGGGACAGGGACTTCTGCATCTTGGTGTCGTCCAGGTCGCGGTTCAGCAGGTTGCGGGGAGCTCGGCCGTCTTGCAACCCGGCAGCGCTGGCCGGAGGCTCCACGAGGGGCACCACCTCTAGGAGCTCCCCGTCTCTCTTGAAGTACACCTGGAGGGGCAGAGGGAGAGGGCCATGGGCTCCTGCCACCCGCTGCATTGCCCAGACCATCCTCTCTGCACTAGCCAAGACGCCCCCCACCTCCCTGGTGTGCTGGGACCCCCAGGAGAGACCAGCCGGGCCAAGCACTGTCTTGGAGGAAGGACAACTCTGCTGATGCTTTCACCCATTACACAGACTTCCCTAGAGACCGGAGGTGCCTATGCCCACACGTGCAAGGCTCTCTTTGGGATGCACACCCTGCCTGTGTGGCTGTGACCTGCAGGTCGTGCCGTGCCATAGGGAAACTCCCTGTGGGACGAAGCCTTCAGCTGCTCCCTCTCAACACCCAACCGAGGTGTGATGTCCCCTGGCTTATGCCCTCCGCTGGCTGCTCGTGCCTTCAGCCGTCCACAGATCCCCGGGAACCCAACGGCTTATGTCGGAGTGGTTGCAAAACATGGCGAGGAGCTGAAAGAGGCACGAGTGAGAGTAGGACTGAGGCTGTATTAGCTTCCATCTTTCTGCTCCACCTCGTGCTCTTGCAGCACAGGCCAGAAATCAGCTCCATCAGGATGAGCTCAGCTGGGACCAGAACTGGGTCCCACCAACTTCCTGGTCCTAGGTGCTGGCAGCTAAAAGGACCAGCCCTAGCAGAACCAGTCCCTAAAGCCGCTGCTCTGTATTACCCACAGTGACTTTCAGGTACACCCAGACCTGCCAGGGGGACAGGGACAGCTGCGATGGAAACTTGGACACGTCAAGAGGCCGGCAGACAGGACGGTTTCCTGGGCTAGGACCGAATTTGAGTCTGGGAGGCAGCCAGCATGAAATAAAGTACTGAAATAGCAGTGAGCTCCCACCCTGCTCACTGCTTTTCTGTCCTGGGCTGCCTCACTGGCACCGGGACAGAAAATGCACGTGCAAAGTGAGATGTACAAGAGAGAGAAGCAGAGAGGCACGTGCATCTATTGTGTCAGCGAGCAGCCGAGCCCCCAAGTGGCGTGTGTGCATGAAACACAGGAGTGTGAATGGTTGTGTCACAGACTAAGAAAGTGCGTGTGTGCGAGAGAGAGGGGACATAAGAATCCGAGCGTGGTAGTGATAAGGTGAGCGTGAACGGAAGAATAGGCTGAAGTGTGTATGTGAGAGGAAGCAAGTGAGTGTGCAGAGCCAGAAGGGGATGTGAAGCACGCTGAGTGTGATAGTGAGGGCTTGTGTGTGCAGGAGGGTAGGGGCGGGCATCTGCCTGAGGCAGTCTGAGGGTGAAGGTGATGGTGCAGCTGCCTCTATGCTGCACCCCTTCTCACCCACTCGGTCTCTCTGGTCCACCTCCAGCAGCTGCTTGTGGCAGGACACTCCCACAGTCCACTGGGGCCCTGATCCTTTAGACACTACTGGAAAGCAAGGAATACAAACAACGGAGGTATAGCTGAAGGTGAGGAAGTGTGTGTGTGTGTGTTCACGCATGCATGCAGGTTGTCTCTGAAGGTGCATGCACAAGTGTGAAGGCATGTGCATCTGCCTATCCAAGGTGTGTGCACACACATGTGTGAGGGAACATGTGGGGGTGTGAGGGTGAGTGTGCCTGAGCAAAGGAAGGGGACGTCAGGAGGGAAGGAGTCAATGTGCTGGGGTGAGGGGCAGGTCTGAGTATTGGGAGTTCAGCATGAAAATCCCTTGCAGACACAATGCCCGCGTAGGGCTTTGCAGAGCCTCGCTAAAGCAGGATTGTATTCCATTTCAAAGAGCTCCTTTCAAGTCTCTGAAGTTGCAGTGCAATGTAAAGGCGGCGGGACTGTTTGGTGGTAAGTGTTTTAAAAATAGCAAAATATTTTTATTTAAATGCCTTAAACATCAGCCTGAACGCGCAGAAACACCTCCCGAGCCTTTGAAAGAGAAAGGAACCCCATTGGCCTCCTGCTTATGTTTATTTAAAGGAAAATCATTCAGGAAATAAGTTCAGAGGCTGCCTTGAAAGAAGAGAAAGCCTGATGAAGGCAGCCCCTGATGCAGCGAAATATCTCCCATTTAACTGCACTGTTCTGGGTTCCCAGAAGGCTGGTGAAGAAAAGGACCTCTCCGTGTGGACATGGACAGATGTGCACGCATACCCTGGGGTGATTTGTAAACCCAAGCCAATTACACAGGGATCAGGGACAGACAGATGTGCAGCTACCCTGGGATAACTCATCACACAGGTTGCTGTCGCGGTGCCTGGCTGCTGGGTGGTAGGGGAGCAAGGAACAGTCTCTGCGCCTTTTGCAAACGCTGCTTTGGGATGAGCAGGGATGGATAAAATGAAACAGGTGTAACTTGCACCAGTGATTCTTTGAAGGATACGGGTGGAGTTACCCCAGTTGAGAAGTAACTGAGGCTGGTGGGGCTCAGCTCCAGAGCCCCAGCGCCCTCCTGCTCAGCACAGCCGCTCATAACTACCCAGCACCCCCCACATGCCCCCCTCTGCCCTAATCCATACCCTTAATCCGCCCACCTGTGTCTCATGCAGCTGGGAAATGGGAGGGCATACGAATGACAGCACTGCCCCCCCAGCAGAGGCAGGGCACAGACCCGATGCCTGGGCCGCCTCTGCACCAATGCCCCCCTCCCGAAACCACGCTGCCCTAGGCGAGGCAGCAGGCACCGCTCTGTATCACAGCCTTCAACAGCCGTCGCTGGGCTCTGGCCTGGTTTTTCCAGGAGAGGGCAGCAGCTCTACCTGTTCTCTGCAACGGGAGCATTTTTGCTGCTGGCTTGTGATGCTTTGCTTTGCTTGCTGTTTGAGGGGAAACAGGAGTGGCTTTCAACCAAGACTCTGCCCCTGCACCGCAGGCCCCCGGCCCCTTGCTCTCCCACTCCTGTGCTCCCCCCACGTGCTGCTCTGCCGATGCCTCTCAGTCGAGACCTCAGCTCCCTCGGTTCCTCCAGCCCTGAGTGCTTTCCAGCAGCTCTGCTTGGGCCCATCGATCCTGACCTGCACCCTCCCACAACCCTCTTGCAGTGCAGCTGTGCCTCCCTCCCTGCTTTCAGTCTGTGCTACCCCCATGATTGCCTTCGCTGAGCCGCTCTCCATAGGGAACGGAGGCGTCTCTGGTGGTTTCCACCTGCATTGGACCCCAAAGCTTTGGCTGGGATGATGTACACGGGGCTGGTCCTGCTTGGAGCAGGAGGCTGGACTAAATGTGACCTCCTGAGGTCCCTTCCCACCCTCGTTTTCTGTGGCTTTATGATTCAATGGATGTGCCTGCCCTCAGTGCTCCTCCTTTCAGGAGCATCATCCCCTTTCACCAGCCAGCCTGTGCACAGCTGGCTTGGGCTGGAGGATGCAGGCGCTGGTGGTAGTCTAATCGCCATCCATGCACATGAAATGGGAGTGTCCCTTTGGCCTGTAGGTAATTCTGGGGGTCCCGATTTCAACCTGCGCTGGCAATGCCGCTCCCCAGGCACTCTCTAGCAACCCCGCAGGGCATGCACGCTCACCCATGCTCAGCCTGGGCATAGCCCAGAGGGCTGGGGAGATGGAGGGCTCGGCAGGCAGACATCCCTGGCCGGGCTGGGTAAGAAACAGTGGCCGCAGGGTCCCCGGTGCACACTCACCAGTGGGGCAGGCTTCCCCCCAGAGACGATGCAGACCAAGGTGAAGTTCTGTGGCTCGTAGCGGCTGAAAGGGGCTGGCGTGTCTGCGGCGATGACTGAGATAGAGGTGGGAGGAGCTGTCGGGGAGAAAGACAGGGTGAGTGACCTGGCAATGTGCCCCGAGCCCCAGCAGACAGATTGTACAAGTCCTGTCCCCAGAGCGTCACCAGCTGAGACAGCGGCCGGGCCCTACAATGATGAAGATGGAGAAGAGACATGCTATATACCTGTATGTCACACGTACACCCACATACGTGCCCCAGGGCAACACACTCATGTGCTGAGATATTCCCCAACACACACGCACCCACTGCAGCATGGCACTGGTCCACCCAAACCCTCAGACACATGGGTCACGTCACGCACCTCTGTGCAAAGCACATTGCAGCGCCGCCTTGCACACCCACACATCCTATGGACACACGTACAACAAACATTGTCCACACACGTGCTGTGCCCATGCACACCCCCCAGGCCCCCTCGCTCTGTCATCACCCCCCACGCCTGTTCTGCACACCCGCCCGCCCCCAGTCCTGCTGCTGAGCAGGTGTTTGCAGCGTGTGCAATTAGTCAAGTTCATGGGCGAATAGCAGTTTGCAGTCGTACAGCCGGTGACACATCCCAGCCTGCTCCGAGAGGGATGCGACTGCCTCCCCCACTGTTACCGTATTACTCAAACGTGTGAGTCACTGCATCACGGCAAATGTCTCCCCCCTTCCCCACAGCTCCTTGACAGGCAGCTCCAAACAGCCCCCGTGGCTCAGCCCCATGGGGTCCTAGGACCCTCAGACATGGGCTCCAATGTGCTTTGGCCAGTGTGGGGCCTTTGGGGCTGCGGGGGCCATCTTCCACGTGCTTGTCCCAGAGCACCTCCTCTCCCTCGAATGTCTGAAACCAGTGTACAAAGAAAAAGCACCATGCGCTTTGGGGTATTTTTTTTAAAGTTATTTTTAAAGTCTCTCTTGGGAGTTTTGGCAATGTGGCTCTTGCATTTTGGACACTTAGGGTTAAGCAGCAACGCGCAGCAGCCTCTTCTGACCAAGGATCTCACAGATGCTAACAATGAAATTGTCCCAGGGAGGTTGGGGGTGCTATTAATGCCCATTTACAGCTGGGAATGTGGAGGCCCAGAGGAGGGTTAATGAGCAGTGCCTCATTCTTCTCTCCTGCTGTTCTTGTCTCCTACCTTGCCCACACCCCAGTGTGGCTTTCTCTCTTGGGACTGTGAGCTGCCTGGTCACAGGCGATGGTCTCTCCTCTCAGCTGATGTAAACTGGTATCAATGGAAAGCCATTGATTTGCATCTGCTATGGAGCTGCCTCTTCTCCTGTATATGGGCTAGACCTGGAACCCAGTGGATGTGCATAATAAGTTGCCCCATTGAAGCCGATGGAGTTACAGATATGTGAGGCTTACAACCCAACCGAAGACAAATTTTGCAAACTCCCCCAGACTTTGCAGCTGGCTCAAGATGGGGTTGTGAGCTTTGCAGCATGGTGCTACCTCTAAAATGGGCTGAACCCGAACCCAATGCTGTCGGACTTGGAAAACTTTTGGACATGGGTCCTGTTCCAGCTTCAAGCAGGATGACTTGAGCAAGTGTCTGACAGCAATAGTGCTGTAGCCCCAACGTGCTTCCTGTGGCTACCCGACACCTAGGGTTTGCACCTTTAAAGTCACCGCCCATCGCTGCCCAGCACCTAGACATACGTTCCCTGGGTCTCCCTGATACGCTCATGCAATCCAATTAATCTCATTACATGTGGGCAGTACTGCATGATGCCCTCGCCCTCCCATTTCAGCATCCTCCAGGCGACAGGGTAAAATCCCAGGCACCAAAGCAGAAGAGGAGCAGGGGGACCGGAGCGACCCTGCGATGGAAAGCTGAGCCGGACTCTGATGTCTGCGGAAGAAGGGCCCTCCCGTCTCCCAGAAAAAAATCCCATGAAAGGGAACACAATAAAAGCCCAGCAGATCGGCAGCCTCAGCCAGAGGGAATTAAAGAAAACAGGGGGGTGGAAAAAAAAAGCAACAAGCCTCTGGTTTATGTGAAAATTAAATATTGAACTGAGCAGTAACAGCAGCCGAGCCTGGGCCCGTAAATGACAGGAGAGATAAACACAAACTGCCATCTCTGTTCAGCAGCAATGCCTCCTTTTATGTTTCAGCTGCTCGGCGGGGAGCTCAGCCCCTGTGCTGCAGGGTCCTAATTCCCCGCGCAGGTGTCTCCTCCTGCCTGTTAATCACAGCAGCCGGATCCGCGGGGAGAAAGCTTTGTGCAAGGGCACGTGAGCTGCTCGGGCCTCCCAACCTGACCTGTTGGCAGCCACGGGCTATGCTGTTAGCCTGGGCAGGGACAGAGGTCTCCAAGGGCATTGTCCAGCCTGGAGGAGGTGATGGTCTTGCTGCTCCTTCATCCAGGTGTCCCCTGGCGGCATGTGCCACTTCCGTGCTGGGACGTGAAGACAACAGCCACGTATCGTGAGTCGACACATAGCCTGCATGAACCTGGCTATGATGCCCGCTGCGGGCAGGGTGCACCAAAGCTTGATGATATCTTAAGTTAAAACAGCTGCAAAAACACTCACCTCAATGACCTCGATTTAATACAGGCTTGGCTCATGGTGTGAAAAGCAGGGATTAGGGCACTGGCTTCATCAAGCAGCAGGAGGGAGGTATTACCGAAGACACAATACAGGCAGCATTGATTGGAAACAGTGGACCGCTAGCGCTCTGCTTGATGGGGTGGCAATCCCCGACTGGTAGGGAAGGCTCACTCGTGCCCTCGGAGTGGGCTGATAGTGATTTCTGATTGGTGGCATGAGACCACCAGAGCCCTCTGATTGGTGGTGCGGGACCGCCAGTGCTCCCTAATCAGTACCGCAAGACGACCAGTGGTCTCTGGTTGGTGGTACCAAGATTGCAGGTGACACAGCTTCGTGCTTGTTCATGCAGGGCCCAGTCCTTGGCTCAGCCTTGCTTGGTTGGGAGGTCGGCCTGAATGAAAATGAAGAGGTGGTGCTCAGCCTGCCAGGCCCTGGAGGAGTCCCTGAAGCCCAAAAGCTGTTAATAATCCTGCCCCGTTGCAGAATACGTCACGGGCCTGCAAGCTGGTAGTGCTGGCACAGGGCTGATCCTCAGCTGGCACCAACCAGAGCAACTCCACCAGTGTCAACGGGACAATCTCCACCTCGAACCAAACACTGACTGCTAAGCTGCTGAATGCAGCCACCCTGCGCCTCACCTGATGGAAATCAGCAGGGCTCCACTGATGTGAATGCAGTTGTGCGAGTTTGCATCAAGCAACTCTGGCTCCGGTATATATTGCTCTGATAGAGGCCTCGGTAGCTGGATTTCTGGAGAGGCAGCCATTCACTCCAGCAAAGATGCACCTGATTTCAAAGGCTTCTAGTTTTCTCTCCCTCCTAATAAAATAATTTAGCAAGCACAAAACCAGAATACAAATGGTTCTGCGCAGCACTCTCCTGATCGGTGTCTCCTGTGCTTTACTCTGATTTTTAAAGAGCCGCCAGTACGATGCCTCATTGTTTTCGCAGCATAAGGAGAGCTAATCTATTCACCCTTGGCCATGTGCTGACTCCTCCGTGATTCAGTGCTCCTGTTCCACATCAGGCGCTTGCAGTGTGGGAAGCTTCCTCGGTTCGTCCCGACAAAGATTTTCTGCTCCGCTTGTCTCCTGAAAAATGTGTGATTTCCCAGAGTAGGGCCTCCCCCCTGAGTGTTTAGCTGGGTTCATTGCAGATGTGAATGTGTTTTGATTGCCCTAGACAAACAAGAGGTCCGGTTATTATTTATAACCCAGTGTATCTCTTTGGATTGGCATTGTCCCAGGCTGATTAAGTACAGTCCCTTGCATAATAGGCCTCTAATCCCAGATGGGGCCACAACAGTAATAATACATGATTGGACATTTGGAGCAAGGCCGTGATGAATCAAATTTCTTGTATATGTGGGAAGAATTCAAACCATATCTCAGTCTCCTGGTTGCCAAATTGACCCTGTGAACATCCCTGATGCAGTCACTCTCATGTAATGGAGAGCCGTCCGGGTCAGGACAGTTGGCTTCTGTGTTGGCAGCTTTCTGCACGCTCCTTCACTGCTGTATTTTGTCTGTGTAGCTGCAGACACCGCACTTGGCTCCATTTAAAGTCGAAAGAAGATGCATGAATCCACTGATCTTCAGTGCATGTGAGCTGGTATCCTCCAGCCTCAGGTGTGGGGCCTACTTACCATGGGCTGTTATCTCCCCCTTGAAATGAAGCAAACCAAATGAAACAACACCACTTTCCATCCCAGTATCATTGCCGCAGCATCACGCGTGGCTCGAAGTACCCTCTGTCCACCTGTCCCACGAGCTCCTCTCCCGTCTGTCTCTCCAGGCCACCTTGGTGAGCAAAGTGCATCAGCTGCCAAAAGCAAATGGATGGGAACCAGGAGGGGGCTTGTTGGCTGGAAGCAGCAGCAGGTGGAAGCCTCCCCTTCCCTTGTAGGTCGTTATCAGCCTTGATGAGATTGGGGCTTTGAGGTTTCCAACAAATTGCTCTCCGAGGAGGCGCAGCGGCAAATGCAAGCTCGTTAAGAACGTATGCAAATCGCAGAACATGCAAATACCCAGCAGATGCAACTGGTGGAGAAGGTGCTGGCACCTCTGAACAGAGGGAGGAGGCATGAGACATAGGGAAGCAGAAGCAGCAATGGGGGCTTGGTTGGCACAGATGAGTTGAGGAGGCTCCAGGCAGCAGATGAGGAAGCCAAGGGAGGAAGCGTCTTGCAATTATCTTGATGTCTCTGTAACCCAGGAGGTACTCCAAGAGGTATCCCCTCTCCAGTTGAAGGGATCAAAGCAGGTGCACAAGCGCTGTGGGAGGTGTAGGGACTTTCCTCCCCCTATAGAGCAGAGCCAGACCACCAGTGGGGACTTAACTATGTACCTTTTAATACTGGGAATTTAACAGGCATAAATCAGAGGGTCTAGTGGACACTACAACGCCCCAAGGGGGCAGGATTCAACAAAGGTTAGACACTTACAATCACTGACAAAAAACAGGGTTAACAA